GGGGGCCCCCCCCCCCCCCCCCCCCCGAGTGCACAAATTTTTGTGCACCGGGCCTCTAGTATATATATATAAATAATTTTTATTTTACTAGAGGCCCGGTGCACAAATTTGTGCACCAGTGGGGTCTCTCTGCCTGGCCTACAGGATCGGGCTGAAACCGGCTCTCTGACATCCCCCGAGGGATCCCAGGTTATGAGAGGGCGTAGGCCAGGCTGAGGGACACCACCAGTGCACTATTGGGCTGGGGAGGGACACAGGAGGTTGGCCAGCCAGGGAGGGACCATGGGAGGGCTCCAGGGCGTGTCCTGATCGGCCAGACCCCAGCAGCAAGCTAACCTACTGGTCTGAGCTTCTGCCCCCTGTAATGACATGGTCAGTGCATGTCATAGAGAGCGGTTGAGCAGCCTTAGCATATCATTAGCATATTACACTTTGATTGGTTGAATGGATGACTGGACAACTGGACACTTAGCATATTAGGCTTTTATTATATAGGATTGAATTCAGAGAGGGAGAGAGAGAGAAACATCATTGATGAGAGAGAATCATTGATCAGCTGCCTCCTGCACGCCCCCCACTGGGGATCAAACCCACAGCCCAGGGAATCAATCATAGGTCGATGCTCAGCCACTGAGCCATGGTGGCCGGGCTAGAAAGTTTTAATTTCGGAGCATCCTATTGTGGTTGCTTTAGGTCTCTGAGTTTGTGAGGCTGCCTTACAGGTCTCCTCTGAGCTTGTCAGGTTTAGCATGTGGCCCCTTTTGGTCCACACTAATCCCCAAAGATGTTCCGGTGCAGTGGTACTAGGTGTCAGGAGTGGAGCCTTTGGGGTGATTAGTCCTGAGGGCAGAGCCTAGTGAACGGGATTGGCGCCTTTATTAGACCCCACCGAGCCCCTCTGCCCTTTCTGTCATGTGAAGTCACAGAGAAGGGTCTTCTGTGACCGGGAGAAAGCTGGCACCAGAACCAGGCCATGCTGGCACCCTCATCTCAGGCTTCCAGCCTCCAGAACTGTGAGAAATAAATGCCTGTTTTTATAAGCACCCTGTCTCCGGTGCTTCCTTATAGACAGCAGCTGGGGCGGACTAAGACAGAGCCTCTTCCCCTGGACCCCTGCTCCCTCCCTACCTGTCACAGTGTGCAGTTAGGTGGGGTTGGGTGCCTCGTTTCTCCGCCATTCATTTCTCTGCCATTCGGCTGTAAGGTACTGGGTGCAGGCTCTGTGCATTGGCCTGGACTCCTGCCCAGGGCTTGTCCGTGCTCACTGAGTCACCTGAGGGGTCCAGCGCCACACCCGCCCACGGCAGCGCCTCTGGCTGCACTTGGCGGCCAGCAGCCGCTCTCCCAGGCCTTGTGGGGAGCGGAGAGCTCCATCATTGGCACTGTCACTTCCTGCTGTAACTTCAGCCTGTAATTTACACATTGCTTATGCCCAGGGTTGGCGGAAGCTGGCTGGTCCCTGCCTGAGACCAAGTTTCCGGGAGGTTTCAAAAGGTTCTGATCCCCCAAACAACTGAGCCCATCCCAGAATTCAGGAATTCTGCCAGGCCCTGGGTCCTGCCTGTGATGTCCTGAGGGCAGCTTTCTGGGCCTGCCTCAGGGACAGAGGTTAAAGGAGGCTGGGGTATGTATCAGCTTAAAAGCTGTAAAACAAGTTTCTGCTCTCAAGTGGAACAATTGTCTCAAGATCAAGGGAGGGAGGAAGCCACCTGGGTTGGTAAAACAAAGTGGATGGAGGTGACTTCCTGAGGCTCGAGGAGGCAGTTACTTGCGGTGGGACTCTGCCCCGTGTCGGGCTTCCTAATGACCTTGACGTCTGTGGTAGACACAGAGTTCCCGGGGACAGAGCATGAGGAAAAGCAGGTTGACCCGAGAGCGGAGAAGGAAGCCAGGCAGCCGTGCTTGTGTTCCCTCCTGGACTCGTGGGTCCGGGGCTCGGCCCGACTCTGCCTTTCCATCTGGGTGTGGCAGGAAACAGCGCCTTTCCCTCCAGCTCTCAAATTCTTTGCTCCTGTTGCCAGGGGTGGTGGCCAGGGCCCAGCCGGCCGGCACTGACCTCAGGAGAGATGTCTCCCAGAGGCATGGGCAAGGGCAGGAGATGGAACCTTCCTTCTTATCCAGAAAGGCTTCGAGGGGCTGTGGGACCCATTCCCTCTATTTCAAGCAGCTAGTAAGTGGCAGAGAACTCAACCCCGTTGCTGAGTATGGGGGTTTTACTCTAATAGTTTTCAGTGTTGTAAATAACACTGGCAAGGAATAAGTTGTTTATTTTTCTTTTGGATGATTTTTTAGGAGCAAAATTACAAGGTCAAAACATAGGAGCATGTTCATAGATCTTGATATATAATGATCAAATTTTGCCCCCAAATGGGTGCATCAACTTACAAGGCCAGCAACCATGGGCCTGTTCACCTGAAAATGACCCCCCTTCCCCAGCAACACTGCTGCACCGCAGAAGCTGTGCCCAGTCCTGACCATGACCCTCCCTTCTCCCTGCAGGTGAGCCCGGTGCAGAGTTCCATGATACAGCCCGGCTTTAACTGGGATTGCACTGAACTTGGGTATCACATGAGACAGGGGACCTCCTTATAATAAGTCTTCCAATCCATGGACATGGTATATGTCAACACTTACTGAGGCCTCTTTATCTCACAATAGTTTTATCTCCAAAGAGCTCTTGTACTTGTTTTTTTTTTTTAATTACTCCTTATTAGGATATGCTTATTGATTTGAGACAGAGAGGAAAAGGGAGGGAGGAGAGAGAGAGGGAGGGGAAGAAGAAGAAGGAGGAGGAGGAGGAGGAGGAAGGAGGGGAAGGGGGAGGGGGAGGAGGAGAGAGAAACATCAATTGGCTGCCTTCCCCTTTATATGCTCCCACTGGGGATCAAACGGGGCTTGAGCATGTTTTATTAAGAGGCCTATGTTTGATGTGTGTGTGTGTGGGGGGGGGGTGTTTGCACATTGATTTTTATATCCAGCAACCTTGCAAACCCCAATCTAGTAACTTATTTGTTGACTCTTTAATGTTTCTATCATCTCTAAGTGAGGAATTTTGTTCCTTCCTTTGGAATCTTTCCTGGTGCCCTTTCTTCCTGGCCTTACTGCCCTGGCCAGGTCCTCGGTACAGTGGGGGCCATCCTGGAAGCGGTTGGTCCGTTCCCACTCTCACAGGGAAGCGGTCAGGCTGCACCACCGGAAGTGAGGTCTGTCAGTGGGTCCTGCAGCTGCCCTTTATCAATCTATCCCCCCGCCCCCGCAGAGAGGACGCCTGGCCGCTCCTCTTTCCTGGTAAGTGATAGATTACCTGGATGCTGCGTTCCAGTACGGAACCGACTCCTGAATGGGATTGCCCTCTCCTGTTTCACATTTCCCTTGCCAGGGTTTGGGGTCAAGGTTATGATTGCCTCACAGAACGGGTAGGGCAGTTCCCTCTTTGTCTCCGTGGAGTTTGTGTAAGTGGGGCTGTCTGTTCCTTAAATGCACGTGAGAACCACAGGGGGAGACCCCTGGGCCTGGGGTTCGCTCGGTGGGAAGGTCGACTCCTGATCAACTTTCACTTTCAGAAATCTCACCCCTTCCTCCCAGAGCCACCACCTCACAGCTGGACCACCGGGCACCCTGGCGTCACTGTGAGGGGCCTCCCCAGCCAGTCTTCCCGGAGCTCCACCTGGCTCCCAGCTCTCTCCTGCCCCAGAGCGTCCACGGTCCCGCTGCTCCGAGGTCAAATCCAAATCCACAGCGAGACCCTTGAGGCTGGACCACCTGTCCACCCTTCCCTTCTGCTGCGCCCTGCTGAGCTCCTGCCACACCAGGGCTTCTGCCCATGAAGATGGACACAAAAGTCTGCCCCATGCTGACCTCTCCTGCCACTAAACCCGCCTCTAACAGGAAGCCTGCCCTCCCCGTTAGCTACAGTTGCCTCCCTCCTATAGCTCTGCATTTTTGCATATTATCAAAACTGATTTGGGTAGAATTCTGCACTCAAGTGAATGTTCTGAAAGGGCAGGCATATATTTGTGATCATTCACTTACTCAGTCAACAAACATGTCCAGTCCAGTGCACAAGCACTGTGCTGGGTGCTGGGTACTGGGATGCATCAGTAACTAAAATGGGTTCCAACCACTTCAGAACCTTCCAGCCAGTGGGAAATAAAGCAGCAGATGATGGGGGAAAAATCACCCAGAATCCCACCAATGTATTGGAGCATTTCTTTCCAGTTTTAAAAATGCATATAATAACCTGCCTAAACTACCTGGATGGGTACGTATTACTCTACAGCCTTATAGGTGAGGAAACTGAGACACAGAGAGCTTAAGTCAAAGGTCAAAGGAATGGCAGGTCTGGATTTTAACTCAGGCAGCCCAGCTCTGAGCCCGCTACCCTAACCCACCCACTACCTTTTAAAAAATATGAGTCAAGCTGCGTGTCCCTGTTGGAAACCCCAAATTTTCACTTCTGCCTGACCTGTGTGGCCCCGTGGTTGAGTGTTGACCCCTGAACCAAGAGGTCCCTGGTTTGATTGGTTTGATTTCCTGTCAGGCATATGCTCAGGTTTCGGGCTCGATCCCCAGGAGAGGGTGTGCAGGAAGCAGCAGATCCGTGTCTCTCTCATCCATGTTTCTATCCCTCTCCCTTTTCTCTCTCTCTGAAAATCAATAAAAGCATTTAAAAGATATTTTTTCACTTATCTTACTGCATTCATCTTACCATGGGAACGCTCCCTTCGAGGGACCTGTCCATCAGTTGCCTTCAGGTCCAGCTGCCTGGCATGGAGGGTGTCCCCAGGCCCACAGAGATCCGTGTCTCTTTCATCGATGTTTCTATCCCTCTCCCTTTTCTCTCTCTCTGAAAATCAATAAAAGCATTTAAAAGATATTTTTTCACTTATCTTACTGCATTCATCTTACCATGGGAACGCTCCCTTCGAGGGACCTGTCCATCAGTTGCCTTCAGGTCCAGCTGCCTGGCATGGAGGGTGTCCCCAGGCCCACAGACCTGCCCCTAAGCAGTCCGGCTGAGGTGAGGAATCCTGGGCCATTCAGCCTCGTGGAGCTTCCCTTGACTTCCCAGGAAAAGGGGACCCCAACACATCACTTTAGGGCTACAGGGAACTGAATGGCAGTCAGCCCTGCCACTAAACCCGCCTCTAACAGGAAGCCTGCCCCTGTTAGAGTGCCTGGCTTGGGGCTTGGTACTCCGATGGTGCCCAGGGATGTTAATTCCTTAAGCCATCATCCCTCTCCTTGGTTCTGTTAACATAAAAACATTCAAACGGGAAAAGAATTTTTGTGAGTTTATTTGAGCGAAACTGTCAACATATGGCAGGAAGCAGAACCTCAATGAATTGAGATAATGCTCCCGAGAATGGCGGGTTACATCTGTATTTATACATTGCAATCAAAGGAAAGGGATGTAGGTGGGTTACGTGAAATCTATTGGTGATAGACTAGAGAGGCGGGAGAAAGCAAAGCGGGGGAACCCCTGGCATTGGATAAAAAGTAAAATGATAGACACATACTTAGGTGGGTGCAGGAATAATTAATAATGATATGAAGGAATTGTGGTATCTTTCCTGGCGCCCAAGCACATTAGGTTGTGCCCAAAGGGGTCCAGAAAAAGGGAAGTTACAAGTTACCCAGACATTTCAAGGGTATCCTATATAATAAAAGGCTAATATGCAAATCGAACAGCAGAACGACCAGTCACTATGACACACACTGACCACCAGGGGGTAGACGCTGAATGCAGGAGCTGCCCCCTGGTGGACAGTGTGCTCCCACAGGGGGAGCACTGCTCAGCCAGCAGCCGGGCTCACAGCGGCCTCTGCAGCAGGGCTAAGGATGTCCCACTGGGAGCAGGCCTAAGCCATCTCTCAGACATCCCCCAAGGGCTCCCAGAGGGTGAGAGGGCCTCTTGTGTTATTATAGATGCAAAAAGACAGATAGGCTCAGTTAAGGTAAAGGTTGGCCTTGTCAGTGAAGATACCGGCCTAGGATGTAACTACCCACCATAACTGCTTTTAGTTAAAGTTTAATTTCAGACCATCCTTTGTGGTTATTTTAGGTCTCTGAGTTTGCAAGACCGCCATGCAAACTTTCCCGAGCTTGTCAGGTTAGCATGTGGCCCCTTTTGTCCACAGTTCAGATAATCACTGTGTACCATGTACATGTGGTGGGGAGATACAGAGATGTAGACAGGCAGGCCACCAGCCTAGAGTAGGGTGGTCGGTGGCTGGAAAAGGAATGTGCACAGGGTCTGAAGAAGCCCCCAGAGGAACCTTAACTCCACGCCACCTAGGTCTGGAAAGGTCAGTCTGAGCAAGCTAGAGGGGAAGGGGGGGAAGGCAGGCCAAGCGGAGGGCAGGGCACGGGCTGGGCAAACGCTTGGCGCAGGAAGGAACAGGCGTAGAAGGCCAAGGGGCTAGAAAGGAGGCCGCGGGGTCCCAGAACCTGGCAAGAATGTATGTCTTTATATTTAAAAAACAACAAACTACTTTGGGGTTTGAAAGCTGCTCCAGTCTCAGAGCGGAAAAGGGAAGAGAAGCCGCAGGTCCAGGGCGCAGGGCGGGAGGAATGCACTTGGCCTCCCACCGCCCCGCCCCCCCTTCC